CCTCAAACATTTTTCATACGGAGTAATGGAGAAGACTCTAGAGACCTAAAGAAAAGTCTTTAAAACATAGGCACAAAAATAAAATATTTGGAGAAGACTCTAGAGACCTAAAGAAAAGTCTAAATACTGACAACTATGCCAACTTGTACTCCCACCAACTTTATTCAGACAAACCGCCCCACCCACACACATCTTTAAAAAAAATGCTATAGTTACACACTTTTCATACACACTTATACACACTCATGTCTGTGAAGAGTTATTTTTTTGTCTGTGTACAGACATAACGTATTCCGAATACGTTTTGTCTGTATACAGACAAAAAATAACTCTTCACAGACATGAGTGTATGAAAAAAAAAATAACTCTTCACAGACATGAGTGTATGAAAAGTGTGTAACTCAAGTGTGGTTGCATCTTTAAATGAGAAACACCCAACGACTGTCACAACTTTATTATTTCGAACACTGCACCACTTTAACTTCAATTTTTTAGAACCCAACCCACATCAATAATTTCAAACATCACTCCAACCCACCTACATTTATACAACTACAACTGTCCTTAAATCTGGCATTTTAAATGTGTGTGTGTATATATATATACATATATTTATTATATATGTATATATGAACAAAAAAAACTTTTATATAATAACTTGGAAATTTTATGTGAGGTCTATCATTTAATTCTTGGAAAGTAAAATTTGTGCATCTACTTTACTAATACACTATTACAGTTGAGAATTTATGAACTCAGTGTGCTATTATCACATTCTAGATACAAATGTTGAAGTCTGCTACCGCACTGAGAAGCGGTATCCCTGAGAAGTCTGCTAATACGCAGCAGCGGCCGCCACGGGTTGACGTTCGGCTTTGACGCCCGAACAATTGGAGACCCATCTCCAATCAGTTTTCCTCAACCTAACTCCGACATTTGGCTGGATTTGATGAAGAAAGTCACTGATAGGGTATCCCCTTAACGATGACCAATTAGTCGAAGCCAGACCTCTCATCCCCTACCACGAAAGCATTTTGTTGATGCGAATGAATGTGAGAATTTGTGAGAATTGCAGTGCATTAGTCCTGCTTTTATAGGTGTAAACAGCATGCGCATCACTATGGTGGGAATAGTGCACCTCCTTTTTTAACCAATAGGAACACACCCAATAATTTGAGCCTGTGCACCACCTCCTGTTTGCACCTACATCTATTTGAGCTATGTGAAATTATTGTCATGATGAATAGTGTCACCTCCTTTTTAACCAATAGGAAAAGCCAATCGTTGTCCTTTTTTCTTTCTATGAACAGTGCTCTACTTTTTGTAAACCAATTGGAACCCACCAAAATTCACGGAACTTTCATGCGCACCATCCCACCTTTTTTTTGACCAATAGCAATACAACATCCTTGATTTGACCCTATGCACTAAATCGTGAATTTCTCAAAAGCAAATACTACGTATAAATTTCTTGAGTGAACTCATCTTCTTTACACAACATTTATTTTACAATTATTTTTGATGAAAAATTACAATAAAACCTGATGTTGACGTTTTTGAGGGGAACACTATTCCCCAAAAATCTTTTGCTTTTATATTAGAATAGATTACGACAACTTATAAAGCAAAAGAATTAACTTTGAAACCCAAAACCTCTAAAAACACGAATATAACTTGTAAGCAAAAATAATATTCCCTCCGTCTCATTAGAAGGTTCTCACTTTCCTTTTTGGATGTCCCATATAAAGGTTCTCATTTCCATTTTAGGAAACAATTAACAATCTTAAGTGACAAATTAATTGTTAAATATTAAAAATAATACATTTATATTATCACAGTTATCAATACTAACTACATTATAATATATACATATTAAAACTATTTCTCAAAATATACTCGAAATACTTTATTTGATTATTGTCTAAATAACCGTGCCGTTTTGGTATGAGAACCTTCCAACAGGACAGAGGTAGTAACTTTTAAACCACGAGGGTTAACTTTTACTAAAAATGTTAGGTCCTCTATAATTTAAGATCTTCATATACTTAATAAGATTAACAACATTTTTTTAGCCAAACATTGTAATCTACCTCTATATAAAAAGAGGTGGAATTTGGGCCATTTTTTCGCTCAAAAGTGTCACCATCAAACTTTATACAAAAGCAAGAGAAAAGTTGACCATTTTTCCGCTTAAATTCATGGTTAAATCCGAGTTTTGGGTTGCTAAATAGCGGGTAAAAAATGACAGCTCAATATTCATAAATGTAATGCATCAAAAGACTTCTTTAATTTTGAGTAGACCACTATTGCACCGGTCGGTGTTCCTGAAAAGATAAAGTGACATCTTGGCTTTTCAGTCATAAACAAGTATGGGCAAAAGCAGTTTTATCTTGGAAGTCCGAGATGTAATACACATCCTACGAAAAAAAGGTTAAAAGCCCTGCGAGTATAGTTTTGTGATTAGAATTCAAACCATGCAAAAAATCTCTCAAAGAGCTTCTTTCATAGATCCATCAACCTTTCATGGGAAGAGGTGAGTTTAATTTAATGTTTCAATTGATTTTTGCGGAGTAATAGATTCTAGGTATTCATACGAGATACGACATATAATATCCAGGATATCACAGGTACCTGAATAACGTACGACTAGGGAAGGGATGCAACAGATCTGTCCGCGAGAAATCGGGAATTGGAGGCGATCCAAAGCAGGTGGACAATACTGTGTGAGCTGTTGGCCTGAAACGAGGTGTGTTTGAGGAGGCGGTGTGGTTCAGGTTGGGGCCCTAAATCTTCAGCGAAGGACATCAGGATTACTTGGCAAATCATCTTAGCCATGTCATGGGAGCTGTGAAACGGTGGAAGACTTCTGCGTTGCTGTAACCGACCCGCTCTAGCCCGGCCGATGCATCGTCAAATCAACCCGCTTGGTCTAACTGACGGAGCTCAAGGTGAAGTGGAACAAGAACGGGAGTCTAGCCATGTTATATATGTTTGGCTTCTTCGTCCAGGCAATTGCCACTAATTAACTAATCATCGATATTCGATATAGAGGGGCATCTGTTGGAGAACCTCGCGGATCACCTTGCTGACCCTACTAACCAAACATTTGCCACAAACTTTGCTCTGGGAAAGTGAATTCATTCATAATATGGTGGATGTGTTTGATTCACTGTTGCAAGGATATGATTTTAATCTAATCCGTCTTTCTGCAAAAAAAAAGAGACATATATATATCCTTCATGTCTTTTTAGTTTTCATGCCGGAACTTGGCCGATTTGGAACAAAGCTTGGATTTAGCACAGATGGTTTGCCTTGGTTGGTGGATGTGCGACGGCAACGACCGGAAATGTTGACTGGACTTGATTGGGACTGGATTGTTGGCAACACTATTTTTCTGATACATCAGCTCCTATTTAGATTTAACTTGGGTTGATTACTTTTAGATATAAATTTTAGTGTATAAGTTGTTTTATTGGTGTATATTTTTTTTGGGTGTATATATTGATATAAAATTCAGTTTTATACAATAGTACTCTGTATATATTTTGGGTTGATTCAATTTTAATAAATTTTGCTGGTACATATATTTATATCAAATTCAATTTTTAGTGTATAAGTTGTTTTGTTTACCACAACGGTACTATGTAATATATGGAGTACTACTTATATGACTAACTGATAAACATTGTTTTTCGGTTTATCAGGCTTATCAACGTAACCAACTTTTTCACCAAACACGTAACTTTTGATTTCGCGCGATGAATTGTGTAATAAGCAGAAAAAGTAAGGTTAGAGTTACTTTTCTGGCTGTATTGATTGAAGTTTAGATGACTATTTTAACTATTTTTATATATAACTTTTTCTTTATTTTATTAATAAAATATATTTTAAAAATAATTTTGTCTAAAATCAACAGAATCAGTCAATGCAGTCACTTCAGCCAGAGCTTCATAAAATTTCAGAAGAATTATCCCAAACAATCGATTTTCGTGCTACCAAACAGGCTCTCAATGTGATTTGAAACCCGACCGGCGACCGCTTTACCGACCCGTGCACGAAATCCGACCGTCGACAGCTTTTATGACCCATTCACGTGGGGCACGTGTCGATGACCAAGCCACCATGACGGAAGAGTCGTGGTGGTCGCCTTCAAGGATTCCCTTAGTAACGGAGAGCGAATAGAGAAGATCCCAACCTTAGTATATATTTATCTCTTAATATATTTTTTCCAAAAAATAAACAATTTTACATTTCATATCAGATCTTTATATGTTTATTCTTTTTTACATAATATATTACTTTGTGTAGAATATTTGAATCTATAAACAATTTAAACAATCTACACATAATTATTACAATTTTTGTCCCGTGCATCGCACGGGTGTAAGTCTAGTTTATCTAAATGCAATGTGATTGTTTTCCCTACACTTCGCATAAGTTTAAACTAGGTGAAAAGATTTAATGTGTAAACTACAAAATGAGCTCTTATCTACCCTCCCCCATTTAAAATCCCATATAGCTTGTGTAATTAGGGCTGAGCAAAACCCGATCCGACCCGAAAAACCCGATATTTTTTTCGAATATTATCCGAACCGAAGTGGATATCCGACCCGAAAAACCCGAAACCGAAAATCTGATTAGTATTGGGCCTAGACCGGGTGGCGGGTAGGGTTTGTGAAATCCCAACCCGACCCGCCCGAATATCCGAAATATATGTTAGTGTGTACTTTGAATATTTAAATTAATATTTGTGTTCAATTATTTGTGTAATTATTTGTGCAATTTGTATTAAATTATTTGTGTAAATTGAATGTGTAGTGAACTAGTGTGTACAATTTTTGTTAACGTGACATTCCAACACTTTAACTATCCAAGTATAATGTGTTTTGATATAACCAAAATATCCGAAATATATTAAATTATGTAGTGTGTACTTTGAATATGTTAAATTAACACTTGTGTTCAATTATTTGTGTAATTATTTGTGCAATTTGTGTTAAATTATTTGTGTAATTTGGAGGTTTAGTGCACTAGTGTGTACAATTTTTGTCAAAGTGGCATTTAAACACTTTAATTATCCAATTAAATTTTTTTTAATATAACCGAAATATCCGAAACCCGACCCGATATCCGATAATATCCGACTTAAAAATATCCGAAATACCCGATTTGAAATATCAAAGGGTCGGGCCTAGTATTTAAATTAAAAAACCCGAACGGGTTTAGGGTTCGCAAACCCGACCCGCCCGAACCCGACCCGTGCACACCCCTATGTGTAATACTCCCTCCGTTCTTTATTATATGTCTTCTTAGGCTTTGGCACGGGTTTTAAGAGGAAAATAGTAGGGGTGGTGTAAAAGGTGTAATGAGCAGTGAGTAAATGAAAAAGTAGGAAAGAGAAAGGGGTAATGGTAATAAAAGTGGGGGGGTATAAAGGTATATTTAAAGTAAAAACTTTCCTTAAATGGAACGGAGGGAGTACAATGGATCTACAAATTTGTTCTTTCTAACCATATCAATATTACACCTGATCTTTTGCTACGAAGATTCTGCACCTGGTTTATCTAAAATTGACTCCGAATCATCCCCGGCATCAACTTTATCTCCCAAAATGTATTCAACCACAAGTCCAAGATTGTCCACCAATTTATGATATTTTGCGCACCCTGAACACTGGAGATAGACAAGTCCTCTTTCATAAGCTAAGCGGTTTATGAACCTTTGAGATTGAGCACCACATGAGTTGCATGTGAAAGTGGCCAAAAGCTTTCTCCTTGGATGCTTCAAGTCAATGACCATTTCCCCTGATTCTGATAAATTTTTAGGCTCATCCACCAAACAAGAAACCATAGGCATCCGGACCAGCTTCTTTTTTGCTTCCCATTTTGGGTTATAAATACTCAACCTGGGAGGTTTGAGGTTGTGATGACATGGAAAGGAATAAATGGGTAAAGGGGATTTAGGCAAGGACGGAAATGATGTCAAAGGATTATGATTGTGCAAGGCGCTAGCTCTGCTTGTAGTCATCCTGAGTTATAAATTGTAACAACAATTGTAAGTATTTTTTTAATTGTAAATTGTAACACGTTAGGCATATGCTAATTGAATCAGAAAAATAAATTCTAAATAAAAGACATAATTTATAACTTAACCACTAGATCAAAATAGTGATAAAATAAGGAAGTGTGAGATTACATAGATAGCAATTAAATGGGAAAGCTTCTGTTGCCATGTCTATTTTAGCCACGTGCTCACATATAAGTTATAAATATGATCAAAGGCTACTTATTTAGTTGATACGATTACAAGAAAAAATATGTCATATATACCTACCAAAGGCCTTTTCAGCAAACCTGTTCATCTTGTAAGAACTAAGCAACATAAAAGCTATCAAATTTCTTCAATTTTCAATCTTAAAAAATCCGATTATTGAAGAAACCAGTGTGACACAGGGCCTAATGAGAAAAAATTGCATGACTTGTCATGATAATCTTTTGAATGTTTTCATATTTAAAATTGTGTGATAACTTTTGGGGGAAGAAATCAGCCATTATAGGTTTAAGTGTCTAACTTAAATTGTAACACGACAAAAGTATGTGAAAAGAAATTGAGTAACTTGATTTGTTTATTTAGACAACATCAAAAATTAATGAAAAACAGGCAACCTAAAACAAGTAAAATATCACTTAGTTACTGTTTTCTTCTGTTTTCAATTTTGAAGGAACACAAAACTCCACAAGTGAAAGAAGATATCAGAAAGTCACAATTTACAAGAGATTCTGGATGCCTTCCAGAATCACATTGCTGCCAATGGGAATGACACAAATCACAATCACTTTAATAATAAATCTGAAAAAATGGCCATTTCATTTTGTCATAAACAACTAAAAATGTCAAAATCATATACGCACATTAATAGTTTAATACTAAATGTAATTGCAAACAGCAACTAAAAATATTTAAAAAAAAACTCGTATAGACTTATATTCTTATTCACGGCCAATTGGCCAACAAAAATAAAAATTACCTCAAAGTTTGAAAGTAAATCTCAAACTAGAAAAAGTAAAACAAAAATAAAGCTCAAAGTAGATAAACATACCGAAAGTCTGAACTCAGACCTAGCGAGTAGCAGCACTGCGGCATTCCGACAGAGTGGGCCGCGGAATGCTGTCGTACGACGAAGGATTACGGCGGAGACGAGCGACGGGAGTGACAGCGGATGGTGGGAGATTGGAAGGAGCGGGACTTGCGACCGGCGGCTTCGAGAGTTTGAGTTGCAAAGATAGGAAGAGGGCCAGGAAGACTAGGAGCGTTGATTACGATTGGCCCTCAAGATGAGCCCGTGGTCATGTATTACCAATTACCATTTGTTACTTTGGGTCTTAATGCAATTAGTTTTACTTTTTTTAATAAACAAAAAAAATTCTAATGACTCTGTACCAGATAAGGAGAAGCGGTGTAAGGTTGCTATGTTGGTTTGGGGCTTGTGGAAGCGTCGCAATGCTCTTGTCTGGGAGGGAGACTGGCAGAGCTCGGCTAGTGTTATTAGCTGCTGTTCGAGCATGTTGTTAGCATGGAGGGAGGCACAACCGTCTGCAGCAAGGTCACCGAGTCAGGCAAGGAGGGATGACCAGAAGTGGAAGCGGCCGAGAGCAGGAGTAATCAAGATTAATGTAGATGCAGCGGTTGACATTACACGAGGAGTGCGAGCTTGGGGCTGGATTGCAAGAGATGATCAGGGCGAATTTGTGAAAGCAGGAGGGGCATCATGTAAAGCGCAATGGTCTCCGGCAGAATCGGAGGCGATGGGTCTTCGGGAGGCTGTCCTGGCAGGAATTTCAGAGGGATGGGATAGGGTGGAAATAGAAACTGATGCACAAGTAGTAGCTCGAGGGGTCCAAAGTAGTGAGGGTGCGGCATACATCGATTTGATCCTTGATGATATACGTTGGTTAGTTCATACAAAGAGTAATTATGTTATCTCTTTTTGTAAGCGATCTGCGAATCGTGCGGCTCATGCTTTAGCAAGAACGCATGTTACTATCTCAGATCATAGTAGTAGTTATGATTCTATTCCGGATTGTATTGTAAGCCAAGTGGCGAATGACTTGTTGAATTAATGAAAGATGTTGAGTCCCGGTTCAAAAAAAAAAACTGATTTTTCTTGCAATGGGGAGGGGGCCGGGGGCGGTTTAGGTCTCCTAGACTCGCCTTATCTCTGTTGGGCGGTGGTGGAGAAGAAAAATTACAATGGTGTTTTTATTATTGCCTGTTTTGGTTACTTTAATTTAGGTTGCATTAAGGTTGGGGGAGGGAAAATCTGCGGTAACCGGCATTGGCTTTAAGTTGCCCAATTTTGGTCTAGCGAGTTATACTGTTTTTTTATAGGTGGTTAGCTCTCAGTCTCGGCCACAAGCGGATGGTTATTTGTGGTTCTTTTCTAGTGTTGTACCCTTGTTGAATGCTATTTTTATGAATTAAGCCTTCTTCGAGCAAAAAAAACCGATTTTTCTGGCCTTTGTACTATAAAATATAGGATACGGGTTAGATGACGGAAACGGGAAACATGTGGGTTAGATGACCTTTAATCAAAAGGCACAAACTCAAATAATCTGCAAATGTTTATAGTACAAGGGAGATATTAGATAAATAAAAGTGCACTCATAAGAGTTAAAAAAGATTGATAATGTTTTAAATTTTGTGCACATTTAAATTTATGACATACTATTATCCACTTTTGTAGTCTGTATGTACACTTTTTGCATATTTTGGTACACTTTTCGTATAATATTTTTATTAAAAGTTCTTCCTAATTACCAAAATGCCACCACGTTTTTTTACTTAAAATTTGCTCTTTTCCATCCATTTTTTCATATCAATGGCCAAGATTAATTCTTATTTTTCTCCTAGGAAGTTCTTTTGATTTGATCCATACTATATATATATATACATGACCGTCTTTTAGGAGGTGCAATAGGTGCTTCGCACTGGGGTCTACTCTTGTAGAGGGCCTCCAGAAATTGAGAGGGTAGTATTAGTTGAAGGTTGATTTTTCTAAGATGTCATGTATTATTCAAGATTCCAGAAGGCATGTAACCTTTAAATTCTCTAATATATGCACTTTAAACGTCATAAAATTTATATTTCATTGAATTGTCTAAACTATTTGTATTTCATTGTCAAAATTTTTATTTTTTCTTGTCTTAGGGACCTCAATTTGTCATTTGGAACCGGGGCCTCCAAATTCATTAGACGGCCCTGTATATATATATATATATATATATATATATATATATATATAGAATAGAGATCAAATACAAACCATGCTTAATTTACAAAGTACAAACTTATCTTGGCCATCCGATGAGTTGATTTAAAGGATATAAAGGCAAGGTGGCATTTTTGTAATAAAACCTAACTTTTCTAGGGTGCAACTCATTGAACGTTAATGTGCAACTGCTATTTTATGAGTATATAATATGCAACACTTTGAACCTCAATATGCAATGCAAATAACGTGAAGGTGCATCGTACAAAAATTTGCACAATAAGCACACTTTGTACTTGATCTTTTCCCTATATATATATAGTGATACATCTATGTGTTGTTGTTTCGTTTCATTTTGTTGTATGGTATGTGTTGCTTTTTGTTGTAGGATGTTTTTTGTTGTGATGTGTTACTTAATGTTATTTATTATAGTTGATTTTAATTTTTAATTTTTATTTGTATTTCTACTCACCGTACCTCTGGGGCTTCTTTGTAATAAAGAGTAATGTATAGATTTGTATACAATCACCTAAAGTAATAAATTTGGATGTATGAATACCAACTATAACAGAACAAGAAACCTGAAGAAACAATAAAAATCAAAATTTCAAAGTTATAAACAAAAATAAATACAAGAAACAATATGAAACAAAAATTTAATATCAAAATGATCACAATAATTATTAGATTCTGTAACCATTTTAAAAGTATTGAGTTACAAAAGTCACATTCTTTTACCTTTCTCAAAATTTTCGGCATAATTATTTCACATTTTATTTTCATTTTTAGCCTTTTTATTTTTGAGTTCTTAGTTTTACACATTTATATTTTTTTATTTTCTATTTCTTTATTTTATTGAGGTTTTCAAATTTATATATTCATTAAAATTTCTTAAATTTTTAGTTTTAATATATTTTGGCTTTTAAAAAAAATACTTTTTTCATAAAAATCTTTAAATGCTTTGCATATTTTTAATTAATAGTTTCAGAAAACTTTTGTCTTATTTTACGTATTTTGTCTATATTTTTTAGGTTTTCATAATTTCAATTTTTCACACACTTTATAGTTACATTAATGTTTCTTATTTTTAAATTTGTATGCATTATATATTCTATTTTTATTTTACTTGAACGGTTAATATCATTTTTTCAAATGTTTTCAAATTTGAAAGGTTTGTAATTACTATTTCATATTTTCCAATATAAAAAATTTACTCTTTCATAAAAAATTCTAATTACTTTTCACAGTTTAACTAGTCTTGGATTTTTTTAATCTTATTTTACATTTTCATAGTTTTGTCTAAATTTTAGTTTTTTACTTTGAGTTTTTTTCTTTAGTTTGTCATTATCTTTAAGAATTTAATTATTGTCCCAGTGATTTACATCGTCTTGATGTTTTAACAAATATTTACATTCGTTTTTTTTAATGAATTCGGCTTTATTAATAACCAATAATTTTCAGAGTATGGGTCAAAAGACAGAAAGAAATCCGACAATCGTTATCCCTCGAACCAGACTCGGAATTAATCGCCGCAACAATAAAATTCGATGATCCATAATTGGGAAACAAACAGCCAGAACCGGTCACCCTATTCCTCTCAATCCCCATATCCAAAATCAACGTCTTACAAACAGGAACAATAAGAAAAAGCAAATAACAAAACAGGCATAAAAATTACTGGAAAAACAAACGAGACAAATAAAATAACTCTTCTTCAAAAACCTAGATTTGCTTGCCTTCCATGGAGGCGGCTCGAGAGGGGGACGTGTCCGTCGCTCATCCACCCTAACCTCAACATCAGCTTCATCTAGATCCAGTTCTTCTTCCTCTGCCCCATTCGCCATCCTCTTGTATTTGTCCACGAAGCTATCCATGCAAAGTTGTTGCTCTAACCTTCCGCCAGAAACTCCGACCTTGCTCATTGTCGAGACCGAACACCTCGGATACAATTAAAGCAATCAACGAATGCCTTGCTCAAATCAACCAAGGGTAGATCCCAAAACGATTAGGTCGATGACCCCAATCCCAAAGAAGAAACAAAAACACGATCTGCTATGCCGAGATCAGCAACTAACAGACGAAAAACCCAAACTCGCCCACGACTGAACGATCGTGGCCGGACAAACGCCCCTAGGCAACCAAACCCCTAGGAGGCGGCGCTCTAGAGCTCTCGAAGAGCATATTTACATTCGTTAAAAAACAAATATTTACATTTTTTCTATTTAAAAAACATAAAATGAATATGTAATATCTAGACTTGTATAATGTATTATGTACTCCCTCCGTATTTATTTGTTCTCTACAATAGCTTTTGGCACAATGTTTTAGGAGAAAATAGTAGGGGTAATGAATAGTGTAGAAAAAATAAGAGAGAATGTGGAAAAGTAGGAAAGAGAAGATAAAAAGTAAAAAAAGTAAGCGTATTAGTCTGCACAGATAGTACTTTAGATTAAAAAAACTTACCAAAAAGGAAAAATGTAGCAAACTTTTAAATGCATCTCAAATAGGAAAGTGTACCAAACTTCTAAATCCGAGTATTAGTTCATGAACTAAATGAGTGGAGACACACACGTACATGCTCATCAATTAGGGAGCTGCTGCACAGAACTCAACCGCTTGTAGGTACGGAACTATGGTCTATTTGTGAAAGAAAAAAGTTAAGTAGTCTATCTTTTATAAAAGTTTTGGAGTGATAAAAGTGATATATCTCTCACTTTTATGCTTATTTGTGAAGATTTCCCTGAAAATAATGAGATATTTATTCCGGTTTACGATTTCCATTATTTTTCCAAAATCGGATTATGGAAACTAGTGCACACTCCTAAAGGAGATTGCATTAAGAGGTTGAATTTTTCACTTATTTGCCCGGAAAGAAGATTAGTTATCTACTACGTATTTCATATGACAATTTACAATCAATACTTCAAAATTCAAATCAGACCAAACTGATTATCCCCCAACTTAAATTTACCAAAACTAACCCCGAAAAGTGGAACTGTTTACCAGCCTAGGCTATTAAGGTTCTAGAACTGATCCGAATAAAAAATGGACCAGCCACTTCATGTGCAACAGTGCAAGTGATGTTTCTTCGTGTAGACTTGTATCTTATTTAGGGTTGTAAGCCTCAAGGGTTAATTGAGATGAATACAAGTACAATATTATCGCTTTCTATCAATCAGATGCAACTCTCACTTTCTATCAATCAGATTGTTGTAATTATAGCTCAATTTAACCCTCCCGGGAAACTCTTTGACCGGTTTTGACTTTTGATGGACAATGATAGTGTGCATTATTGGGAAAATAATACAACAGGTCAGATACAAATCATACAATTATGCAAATTACAACTTAGGAATAGAGGATTTTGTCCAGTTTATTTGCACACGTAATATTAGAAAATATTGAGGGCCAGTCCATAAAAGACCATATATTGTTGTTTTAAACAAATTAGTATAGAAGCCAAATAAACATATACTCCGTATATAGAATCTGTATCATGAAAAGGTGGAAGTTGTAATATGCAGCAATAATAACATCCTAGCCAGGAACAAGTGAATATCTTGGAACCATTATTTGGATGCGACCTGCCCTCATTCTATGGTGATCTAGTCCCATTGAATGGCACGATGGAATGTCCAATCAGAGGCATTGATGGTGGTTTTTCCATCAGAAAGAACAAGATCATACTTTGAATCCTCTGAGAACTCAGTCGGCATGAACTTCCAGTGTAGGCTTGGACTCCACTCGGCTTCTTTCAGAGCCTTGAGTATCTCTTCAACCACTACTTTGCTTCCCTCTTCAGATAAGTGAATCCCATCCCTGGAAATTATAATCCAGAAAATGTTTCAGAAAAAAAAATGGGGAAACCATTTGATTT